CTGGACCCATGGGAAAAGGGGGAGAGGGGGGGGGGCAGAAAGAAGAGACCAACTGCACCCAAAAAGCATGTCATAAAAGGCTAACTAGCCAGGAGTTTGCTGCAATCAGATGAGTTAGGCTGAAAAATGCAGACATTGCTGACTAGCTGTAAACCACAATATGCCAACAGCCCTTCTAAGTCCAAATAGAGAAAAAGAAGAAATTTCCAAAGAGAAAGAACTCTCTATAATAAGTTTCCCAAGAGAAAGATTAGTGTAGAGCTATCTCCCCCTTAGAGGAAAAACAATTAGTAGGAACAAGATATCTGATGCAGACTGAACAAAATCTTCAGGCTAGAAAGAAATGACAGAAAACTGAATAATACTGGCAGCAAAGACATTTAAAAAGAAAAAAACAGAAAGAAAAAGAAGGAAAGAGGGACTTTGCATTCATGTCACTGTTTCACACTGTGGATAGGTGTTGTGTAAATATTTCCTTGACCAGTGACCACTCAGTGGGACACATGGTCAACATAGACTGGTCAATTTTGCCATTCCAAAACTCATGGTACTTACTCTGCCAGTTCTTAGTGGGTTCCAGGCCTCATTGTGGGGGAAAAAGAACAGACCCAACGCATCCCAAACAAGCATGTCGTGGGATTCAACTAAGTGGGTTTACCTTTGAAGTCAAAGTGCATCTGCCTGAGAGGCAGGGAACCAACAGTCTGCATACAAACAAGTGAGATTTGTAACTTGGATGTGCAGACAACACTCATGTTCTGAAAAAAGACCAAAGTCCAGAGGTGGATGAACAATCAGAACTTCTCACTGGAGTTTATAGCCGGTGGATGTGAAGAAGAAGAAAAAGACAATGGAGTTGAAGAAGAAGATTCTGTAAGCTAGCCTCGAAGACATGTAATCACAGATACATCCGCAGACAGGTGTGAACAAACGACTACAAGGTTGGTATCTAAGTGATCTAGCTAAGAGGATCAGTGATTTTTAACTGCTAGTGACACTAAAGTTAAACATTAAAGTCGAGAGGACCGACTTTATTGACTGGGTTTTATACTATATGGCTTGGTCTCTCTCTCTCTGCAAAATGGCCAACCATCTGCAACCATGTTGCTTCTGCAACAATCCTCAGGGTTTTCTGTGATTCTAAACTATCATGCCACAGTGACTAATATCCTGCTAGTGATACTAAAAATTAACAGAAAAAAAACAAAAGACACAAAAATAATTTAGTTTTGATTGCGGCAGGCATAAAGTACTGACTAGATTTCAACACCTGCAACTGTCTACAGATGAATACTGATACTGACCAAAAACAAAGGAAGTACCCAACAGTGCAACAGACATTTCAAAAGGTGGCATAATCAATGTACAAATGCAATAATAATACAACAATTATGGTACAAACATGATGATATATTACGCAGATCTAATGCTCACGAATGCACAACAGTCACCACAAACATGAATGCAGCAGAATTATTTCTCACTGATAAAACTGCCAGAGTCTGTTTCAGGGCCTCATTTTGGGGGAATACAAGAATGGATGCCCTGCCCCTATCAAGCATGTTGTAAAAGGCACAAACTGGATGTGCAGATATTGTAATCTAGCTGCAAACTACAACACAATGTGCCGACTGTTAACAGTTTGCTGACTGTGTATCAATATAGTCTCCCCGCATCATTGTGCCCACATAATTTCCTCATCTTCTTTGTGTTCACTCACCGGCTGTAAACTCCGGCATAAAGTTCTGGTTGTTTGTTAACTTCTGGTTGTTTGTTAACTTCTGGTTGTTTGTTAACTTCTGGTTGTTTGTTAACTTCTGGTTGTTTGTTAACTTCTGGTTGTTTGTTAACTTCTGGTTGTTTGTTAACTTCTGATTGTTTGTTAACTTCTGGTTGTTTGTTAACTTCTGGTTGTTTGTTAACTTCTGGTTGTTTGTTAACTTCTGGTTGTTTGTTAACTTCTGGTTGTTTGTTAACTTCTGGTTGTTTGTTAACTTCTGGTTGTTTGTTAACTTCTGGTTGTTTGTTAACTTCTGGACATTAGTAGTGTTCCAGAACTTCAGTTTCCCGTTTACATCCATTTTTACAGATCTGGCTTATCTGTTTGCACGACTGCTGACTCCTTGTCCATCAGGCAGATGCACCCAGATTTTGATGGAAACCCTTTATCTGTCAACACTCTTATGACATGCTTGTTAGGAAGGCAGTGGGTCTACCCCCCTCCCCATTTTCCACAATAGGATTCCAGAACCCACAAGGGGACTTCATAATCTGTAAAATCCCCTACCAATTCACATTTCAATCAATTATTCATAATGTTAATCCATCAAAAAATCTGTTAAAAGTATCACATTTTACAAAGTCGAAGACATATATACAGGAGAGTTTTCAAAAAATGTACAGAACTGCTGCCATTAGCACATTCTCATTCTGTCAACATTGAAGTGAGTTGCAAATTGAGTCTTTAATGTCTTAGTAGTCTAATTCTGAGGTCAATCTTCAGTGAAGAAGTTAGCTCATTGCAACTCTTCAATTATGAAGCATGCATAGCTGTAACTCTTAAGTAATGAAGTTTGAATAGTCATAACTCTTCAGGAATTCAGTTTGCATAGTTGTAACTCTTCAGTAATGAAGTCTGCATAGTTGTAACTCTTCAGTAATGAAGTCTGCATAGTTGTAACTCTTCAGTAATAAAGTCCGCATAGTTGTAACTCTTCAGTAATGAAGTCTGCATAGGTATAACTCTTCAGTCATGAAGTAACGCAAACATCCATTAATAATACTGCAAGGTGACAACTGACTATTTAAGTAGTAAAAATAAGTGAATTTGGGTAGAATCTTCAGTCACTGAGTTTGCATATTCTGCACAAGAACTGCATTCCCCACTTCTGGCTTCTACATCCTTTTAACTGGATATGAACACACTGAACAAACAAACATAAATTGCACACATATACATAACAACACAACGGTTGTTCAGCAATTACACTCTTGTCATGATTGAAACTGTATATAAATAATATATTTTATATGTGCTGTCATCTGTGATACTGTACAACTTCTGTTTTTATGAGCAGGCATTTGCTGATCAAACAACACTGAAAGTAAATTATAACTGTTCACACTGGCAAATTGAAATTCAGTTTGAATAAGTATAGGTACTTGCTACTATGTGACTGGTCTCACAAAGGACAGTTGCCATGCAGCAGCAGCAGACGACAGGACCTTAAAGACATCTAAGGGAAGCTACCCGAGCTGTCACATATTTAGAAGTCACTGGACTAGAAATACTGGCATTTTGACATTTGATTAACTCCCCCTGCTTTCCAGAGCAGGATGTCAAGTGTAGCTCTTCTCAACTGAGCGTATTTCTTGTCAGTCCAGTAGATGGCCGTGAGGAGGCTGACAAGTCACAGATCACACAGCTTCTGTTTAAATGCAGACGACTGGAAATAAATGGTCAAGGTTTGCATCTGGAATGCAGCAGCCGTAGTTACTTCACAAGTCTGTGGGAGTCCCTCACCTGTGGAAGACATAAATATCTACATATATAACAGATAAATAAATATGCAGAAGACAGAAAATAATAAGACAGGTATACTGATTTTTCAATCTAAACATACGTCTCAAGGCAAGGAAAAATGTCTTTACTTTCTTACTTTTCTGCTGACTCCTAATCGTTAGTGCCTGAGACTACAAACCTGTAGCAAAGCTTTAAAAAAGAATCTTAAGGGATTTACAGTACAAGCTCTTAGCCCTCTCACTCTGATAGGTCTTGAACCTGTCTATTCTGTCTGTAACTCAGTCCTGTAAATGCCAATCACCCTACATGGTTGTAGTGACTTGTCCCAGAAAAACCTAGTCAACGTCACTGTTGTGTTTGCACCTGCGCAGAATTTAGGTGGCCAGGATATGAATATGTTTACTAAAAACATCTAGTGTGGGTGAATGGCTCTTGTGTACATTCCTACCTGTCTGTGAATAAAACAACTTTTTAAATTTCATAATTTGCTCGTAGCATTAGTGTTAGATTTAAGTGAGGTCACAGGGTCACTATATGAGCCGCTCGATACATTTTATTGTGGGTCCAGGAGGACTGTATACCATTTAATGCTTCAGTCTCTGTTTATTCATTACTCACAAATTCCAAAATTATTTTTGTTAAAAATGTATATGATTGAAAATGTTTATAAATACTATTTAAAAAAACAAAACCATTAGTGACCTGTGTCAAATGGTTGTTTCTTGTAAAGCCTTTTTCGGGAATTCCCACAGGTTACTGCAAATATTTTTAAGTATTTCTGTGGCAAAAAGGTTGAGAGAGTTTCATCATAGCACTTTCACAAATTCAAGGCACTACACTGGCTAGTCGCATGCCTGCAGGCCCAAAACATTTGGGTTCAAAAGCACATCTGAGCGGATTGTTTTTATAAAACAAGCTGAGCTCTCAAGTCAGCCCAGACTAAAAGTGGTGCTAGGAAGTATCCTAGGAGATCAAAGCTAGCTCAATCTTCTTCTTCGTGTTAACCTGCTGTAAACTCCAGCAGAAAGTTATTGTTGTGTATCCATTTCTTTACTTTAATCTTGTTTCTGAAACTGAGTCTTGCTTGCACATCCATTTTACAGATCTGGCTTATGTGTAGGCAGACTGCTGGTTCCTTGCCTCAGGCAGATGCACTCCGACTTCAAAAGAAACACACTAATTAGACCACTTTTATAAAATGCTTGTTTCGGGTTCAGTGGGTCTATTATTTTGTCCCAAACGAGGCCCTGGAACCCACATGATTCAATGATTAGTGGTGATTGGTCTGTAAAAATAAGGGTCAAGCATCATATGCTTGATGCACCAATCATATTCAAGGGTCATTTCTTCCCTTGGAGCCGCTAAAAGAGTTGAATTACTAGCCTCTCAAAGGAGACTTGTCCCCAAAACAGTAAAACTGACAATTAAAAAAAGTTAAGATAAGTTAATGACTGTCACAACTTGCACTGATGCACACTTACATGTCAATGTAATCCTGGTCTAAACTGGTTGACTTGCCCACATGCTTCTCTCTCCTCACACGTCTGCCACTTCGACTATCCGCATGGACTATAGAACTATCACCAACCCATGAACCTGCATTCCTTGAGCTTCTACTGTGCTGTTGCTGCTGCGGGAGTGGGGTAGAGGGTGGGTGTGATTGGCTGCTGGTACGGATGTGTGGAACCACTTGTACCTGAGGCATGTCTGTACTTACGGACATGCCTTCACCTGGGTAATTCTGCCACCGGTTGCTGTGTACACCTGAGTTTGAGCTGCAAGATCTATTTGCTGCTTCTCTGGTCTTCCGTCTCTTGCTTTTATATGTGTGTTCTTGGTTTACCACACCTGTGGAGAGTAATCCAAACAGTTAACAACATACTTGCAGCGCACCTGAGTGATAGTTCTATTGTTATATTCTTCTTCTTCAGCATTCCGAGCCCTTGAGGTTCATTGCTGCAGATATCACCCGCCTCCATTCATCTCTCTGGTTGGCCTTCTCTTTCCAGTTGGTAACACCAAGTGTTTACAGGTCTGTCTAGAGATTATCTTTCCATAGTCTTCTTGGTCTCCCTCATGGTCTACCACCATTTATCTCCCTGGTGTATACAGTTTTTACTTCTCTGTCATCTGACATTCTTTCAATATGCCCCACTTATTTCAGTCTATTAGCTCTCATGATGCCAGTGATCAGTGGTGATTTAAACAGATTATGAATATATTTTAATTTTGTTATATTAAGAATAATAATAATTATGTCTTTAGAAAAGCCGCCAACTTAACCGTCCGAACCAGAGTTAGAAATGATGTTACCAGACAGACTGTGGGAACAACACCATGCAGCAAATTCACTGAGAAACAAAGGATCAAATGGTTTGGTCATATAGTAAGAATGCAACTACCAATACAGGTACTACACATGAAAAACTGATGTGAAAGCATGAGGCTGCCCTAGGAGAACATAGACTGATGACATTAAAAAGCTTCTACACTGAAACAACACAGCAATAGCCACTAATAGCCACTTATATTTTCCTAACAATGTTATATGGAAAAAAACTAAAACAATCTTTAATAACACTTATTCTTCTTCTTCTTCTTTGTCGCGTTCACCAGCTGTAAACTCTGGCGGAAGGTTCTGGTTGCTCGTCCACTACTGAACTGCAGTCCTGCTCCAGAACCTGAGTGTTGCATGTGCATCAGTTTTACAGATCTCATTCTCTTGAATACAGACTGTTGGTTCCTTGCCTCTCCGGTAGATGCACTCCAACTTCAAAGGAAGCTCCCCAATTAGTCGACTTTTACGACATGCTTTTGGGGAGGCAGTGGGTCTATTCTTGTTTTCACCAACAATGGGGCCCCGGAACCCACATGGGGGATAACACATATTATTAATTAACTTGTGCATACTTTTTGTGTGTGTGGAGATATATTAAGGAAGTAATCAATAAACAGTAATGTAGATAAAGATGGGGGAACTGATAGAGATATTAAAATATGAAAATAATAGGCAAGAGGAGCTTTCATAGCACTAGGGAATTTGTGGAGGTCAACAGAAATTAAAACTAATACTAAACTGACCTTTTTTAATTCTAAGTCAAACCAATACTGTTGTATGGAGCGGAAACATGGAGAACAACTGAGGCAATTACTATTAAACTACAAACATTCATTAACTGGTGTCTGGGCAGAGAGAATTAAATGGTATGATAGAATCACTAATGCAGAGCTTTGGGAGAGAACTAAACAAGTTCCAGTGGACCAAGTGGTGAAGAAAAGACTCTATAGCGGTGAATAAGTACACAAGGTGAGAAAACCTGAAAACATTATAACTAGAATGTCTTTGCACTGGAACCCACAGGAGCACAGAAATGAAGAAAGATAAAAAAACACATGGAGTAGGGAGCTAAAGAATGGAGCTAGAAGAAGGGAAGGACATGGGAAGAGCTGCATGCAATAGTGAAGGATAGAACTTAGCATCAGTTGGTTGAGGGCCTATGCTCCACTGGGGGAGGGGGGGGGGGGTCAGAGCGGCAGAAGAAGAATCAACAAACATGAATACATTCACTAGGGCTTGAGAAAACTATTAGGTAAGTCATGCCATGACCAGTGGCCTCTAATAAATATGACAGAGACAAAATAGCAGGACATCAGAAGCCTCTCTTGGAAGCTAGCTTGGTACACGGCAAGACATGATTCGCCTGAAAAGACTGTACTTCAAGGAAGATTGGAGAGTAGTTGAAGAAGAGGAGGGTAAAGAAGAATCTGGATTGATAACATCAAGAAATGGACAGGTCTTAGTTCTCATACACTTATTCATCAAGCGGTGGAGGACAGAGAAATATGACGGGTTTTATGCGCTAGTGCTTTCATCAGTACACCTGGAACAGGGCTTCGCATGGCAAAAGGGCTAAATGTTTTTAAAGTACGTAGGTGATGTATGCAAATAAGCTACCTGGAATTGGCGTATGAACTTCAACTTCGACTGTTGCTGTGGTCTTGACCCTTGTAATGTGGGTTGTAGGTGGTGGGGGAGGTGAGGGGGAATCTGGGGAGCTTGAGTCCTGGGGAGTAGAAGATAACAGTGTCTTACTACATGGTAACATTGTTTTCATAAATGATAAGATTGTCTTGGTTAACGATAACATTAGTTTAATAAATTATAATACCGTATATGATAGATTTATGTCCTCATTAATAAGAAAAGTCCTGATAATTAATGACTTTATCATACATTATTTTACTGCCATGATAAATGACAACACAGTCATGTTAGGTGATCAAATTCTCTTGATAAATAATATTATATTGACAAAATGAAAACAAAATTTAGATGAAAAACAGAAACTGAAGGGTATCTAAGTAAAAAAATTTTTTAGACGAAAGATAGAAAATGAAATGCGTCTGGGTACATTTTTTTTTTTTGAAAGACAGAAAGTGAAGTGTATCTGAGGACTGTAACAGCAACTTACATGTTCATCAGTATTGTACATGGAGGAGGTGATTGATCCAGGACCCATGTGACCACCACTGGACCAGTGAGGCAGCTGCACCATGTTGCTGCCAGGGTCATGACAACTACCTGGCAAAGTCACCGTTTCCACGACAACCTCCGGGTGGATGATGATTTCATGGGACGAGTACTGAGTAGGTTCTTCAGAGATCGTAGACAGCGATACGTCCGAGTTGACGCGGGGGTATACTCTGTGTTTCCTTCGATGAGACTGTGAAGAGCTGTACCTCTCTGAGAGCTTTGGAGAGGGTTCTGGTGTTGGCATGGACAGGCGATCTGCATTATCTTTAGGGATGACCTGATGAAAACATTTCAAGGTTATTTCCTGGTACAGAAGACTGGTGGTTGCGACACATCCTCATATACAGTACTGTAAATATTTGAGCACACGGAGTGTTTTACACATGACTATTATTTTACACAATGATGGGTTGTGTTTGTACAATAAGAATTTTCGCTGTTTTACACATGATAAGTATTTTACACATGATACATATTTACACAGTAAGTACTTTTCACAGTGATTAGTATTTTTTGAAATAATTAATCTATTGCTTATTCTTATTCACGTTTCCTGTCTGTAGACTCCAGTTCTGGTTGTTCGTCCACTTCTGGACTTTGGTGGTCTTGTTTTGAGTGCACATCAATTGTCTTAACAGATCTTGCTTATTTGTATGTAAACTGTTGATTGCTCACCTCTCAGGAACTTCACAGGAAACATCCCTAATCAATCTGCTTTTATAAATGTTTTCAAGGGGGCAGTGGGTCTACCCCCCCCCCCCCTTCTCTCTATGATGGGGCCGTAGAACCCACACAGGAAATATTTCATTTTATTAACCGTAGCTTCCTAGTCAAACCTGCCTTAAATTGACCCAACAAAATGTCTTGGAAAACAAAAGTTTCCAGTTTGTTGTTGACCCAGAACCCAGTGAGTGCTGAAAAATGTTTTTTTTTTTAAACTGATCCTGAAATCATGAGTTGTAAACTCTTTGGTTCGGTACTATGGCTATCACAACTCTTTGGCCTTGATTCCATAATAGATGATGTAAATCTGGGAAAGATGTGGCTTTTCTGCCTACACCCCCCCCCCCCCCCCCCCAGCTCTAACTCAGACCACAAGGAGTTTGTCACCTGCTCGCTGCACAGACTTAACCAGCTGATCTAGCGCCCCGGGCCTGAATCTATAAAATCTAGAAAAGTGTGAGCCTGACATCTATGCCTGATGCCTGACATCTATGCCTGATGCCTAACATCTATGCCTGATGCCTGACATCTATACCGTCTATGATTGACGGTAATCCATCTATGATGGATGCCTGACTGGCTTGAAAAGACCTGTTTACATTTACTTAATTTTCCCAGTACCTAATCGGAATGGTGCTCAACTTTAAAAACAAAACTACATTAAAAAGAGACCTTGGCTCACAGAGTGAATAAGCGTGAATAAGTCTTAAATGGGTACCAGGTAAAGTCTTAGGAAGTAAAGGTGATCAGTGTGCTGATTGGTCTATAAAATATAGGGCCAGCATTATATATATATCATCATCATCAGTCATCAGTTTCCGTTATGCCTGGTGGCTCATGAGGCCTTGGAGAGGACTTTCCATGCTTTCCTGTCCTGTGCAATCTTCAATGCAGTTTTCCATGTCAAAGATGCCACACTCAGGTCACTTTCCATCGTTTGTCTCCATGTTGTTTTTGGGCGCCCCTGTTTTCTCTTTTCCTTTGGTGCCCATGTGAGAGCTGTTTTGGCAGGTATATCAGGATTCATTCTCATAACGTGGCCAAGCCATTTCCATCTTCTCTTGGTTATCATACTGTCTAGAGTTTCTTGGTTTGTGACTTGAAGTAGTTTAGTGTTTGAGATTGTACCTGGCCAGAAAGTTTTGATAATTCTACGTAGACATGTGTGTTGGAAAGTGGACAGCTTGTGTGCATCCTTTTTGGTAATTCTCCAGCATTTTGCTCCATAAAGAAGAACTGGCAAAATGATGCTCTTGTAGAGTCGGAGTTTTGTTTCTCTGCAGTAACTGAATAAATATATATACATGCCCTGATAGGCTGAATATGTGGAAGAGGGGTCTTTTACTCAGTATTTACTACAACTTGTTTCCCATTACTGACAAAAACAAACAACTAAAACTCTAATACTTCAAGATGCAACAGCAGGCAAAAAAAAAAAAAATGGCTTCAGTACCTCTCCTTTAGGCCCAAGTATGCTGAGTAAAACAGGCAACAACATGAGACCATTGAAGAGACCTATCACAATTAGGGCTGTGAGGACATTGAAGAAATACCTGCAGAAACAAAACAAAACAAGTCATTTAAGCAAGAGTGTTTGTGAATCAATCAACAACAAAAACATGCAAAACCCACACACAAATCATCACTATTATCATGTGCTTTGCAATATGTTTATGGCTCTCCACTTGTCCTAACCTTTGGCACTATGGGACAAATGTATGAGGATTTTCTTCTATTTCACCGTCTTAGATAATATAGCCTCATTGTATCAAGGTCCTCTTTCCAGCAGTCAAGAAAACTATAAGCTTCGATAAATTTATTGTTTATTATACTCTACTTCAATCAGTTGTGAGCACTGTCTTGCACGTGTACGTTTTTGGCACCTTTCCGTCTTTCCAAATGATAGTTAGTTAGTTGGTCGACAGATTATCCCTATTGCACATTTCTCTACTGATGCAGTATCAAATTCGTTGGGCTGGTCATGTGGCACGCATGCCAGATCACAGGCTCCCAAAAAAACTCTTCTATGGTGAGCTGCAAAATGGGAAACGTTTCCAAGGCGGGCAAAAGAAACACTTTAAGGACACCTTGAAGTCTTCACTCAAAGCATTTGGGATGAATGACACCAATTGGGAGGCTGCCTTTCAAGACCGAAATGCATGGCGTGCAACTCTACACAAGGGCGCGGTTACGTGTGAAGCAAACAGAACAGCAAGACTTGTTAAGAAAACGATGGGCAGAAATTGACTGCAGGAGATCCCCTCCCTGGCACAACACTCATTCCCTGTCCTTACTGTCCAAGAACTTTTCGGGCCCGCATCGGCCTCATCAGTCATCTTCGTACTCATAGTTGATGAGAAAAAGTGGTTATCATCATCTTGTTGGACAACACACAACCGCACATCGAACTATTCAGCCCGTAAGTGTGCTTGAAGTCCTTTCTCAATTAATCCCTCAGAGTGTAGCGGCTAAGGGCACTAACGATGTTGTTATACCCTGTAATTCTACAAGGAGGCTTGAGAATTACATGTAGCAAAAGGTGAGTGTGACTAGCAAGACCTACCAACTATGATTCTTGAACAATTAGAGCAAAGGTATTTCAAGATCATTGTCGTCATTATACAACAAGCAAAACTAGCTTCTTCTTGCTGTCATTTTTTCCTTTATCGAGTGCTCCATTCCTTGTTGAGTTCCCCCCCCCCCCCCCCCCACCCCCACCTCCTCGGCAATAAGGAACGGACGGCACTTGAAGCACGAACGTTCTCCATTCCTTTTTCATATGCAATCATAATTTTCTGTTGTTATTCTGTTTTTATTTCGTGTTATAACACCGGTAAAGTTTCAAATTTTTTTCATATTTCACATTTTGAGCAAAACTTTTACCTCGTTCAATGTGTGGATTACTTTTTTATGATACCTCAGTTTTCCACCTAAGACTTTACTTTCGTTAATAAAGACTTTGGTGGACACGTTGGCTAGTTATAGTGTAACAACTTAAAACGTTTAGGACGTAACCTGTCGTCCGGTGTTAGTGAATCTGTACGCACCCGAATTTTTTTAAAGAGAAAAAAAGCTCTGGATACAAGTATATGCAAACTTAGCACACATAAACTAACCATACACACACATAGAGAGAAAGAGAGAGAGAGAGAGAGAGAGAGAGAGAGAGACGCGTAGAGAGAGAGACACATAGAGAGAGTGAGATGCATAGAGAGAGACACACACACAGAGAGAGAGAGAGAGAGAGAGAAAGAGAGAGAGAGAGAGAGAGAGAGAGAGAGAGAGAGAGAGAGAGAAATAACCGCAAATTTAAACTGATCACACAGTACAATACATACATAAAGAAAGCAGAAACCGGATTTAAAAAATACAATGAAGTGCCTTCAACGGGAGGCCCACACGCAAGCTTCCAAGAGCTGTTGACAGCGTTGTGGCAGACGTACCGTACCCTCACAAGGCTGGAAGTAAACAGCAGATCTGAACTATTTATTTAGACAGAGCAGAACTAACCCAAGGCGGACTTCACAGACAGCCGGCATAAGCGTATCTGCTGCTGTTTTATTGGAAGGGCGGGAAACATTTAGTGTTTGTTTATCTCTGAGTCGTTTGTATGCTTGGAACCGTGGGTATCCGTGCCAGACTATAAGTGTAACCGCTTCGAAGTGAACGTTGTAATAAAAGAAGCAGACGTAGATTATGTAGTAGCAGCAGCAGAAATAGTAATAGTAGTGGTAGTAGTTGCAGCAGCAACAGTAGTAGATGTATAACTTGTGGCAAGGTAAGTGGTAGTGGAAATAGTAGTAACCGGAGCATTAGCAGTGATAGCACTGGCGGATGTAGTAGTAAAGGTAGCGGAAGCAGTAGGAGCGGTGGTGGTGGTGTGGTGATAGTAGTAGGAGTGGTGAATGAGGAAAAGGAGCAGCAGCAGAAGTTGCGGAAAAAGTAGTCACTTCCGGTTACATGTTATGTAATAACCAATGGAAGAGATTTTGAAAAACCACCCCAATCATATTAAACAATCAAGATGGATAAGCCTGGCCAATGTAGGCACCTTTGGGAGAAGGGATGGGGGTCTATCTAGCCGTGCCTTGAAGTACGTCTGTCCTTCAGACGGGAGCTGGCATCGTTGAAAGGCCACGGGTTCGAATTCTCGTGTGGTCACTTTAGCTCCAATATTAAATATACTTGTCTGTGTCCTCTACTTTCCTCTTCCACGTCTGAACGTGACCATCAATACCACAGACTTGCTGAGGCCCTAAGCTATATAAAGCCCTGACGCCTCTATCCTTTAAAATTACACAAGCCATCTGATCAAGCTAGTATGAATAAATGCGTGGGGTAATATACTCAAAATAAATTGGGAGTGGGGAGGGGGGGGGGCTGTGAGGTCTCTGCAGACTGTGAGGCCCCAAGTTGTAGCCTAGCTGATGCCTAAACCCAGCGGTGACGACAGGAAGAAATTAATGGCCACCTTCTGGGATTGGTACTTCTGCTTAACGTTCATCGGCTGTAAACCCCAACGCTACTATTAGCCATCAGACGTTAGGGTTCATACTGAGGGGAGGGTTTGAGCACCTATGGAATGTCCGGAGTGCAATGATGATAAGCCAACTAACTAACTAACTAAACTCCAACGCAAAGTTCTAGTTGTTCGTCCATTTCTAGGCTTTGGTCTTGGTCTAGAATGCGAGTTTTGCTTAAGTTTTTTTTTTTCACAGATCTAGCTTATTTATGTGAAGTCGTCTGGTTCCTTTCATCTCAAAGCAGACGGACTCTAACTTCGGCGGAAACACTTCTTTTTAGTCTCCAATTACGTCATGCTTTTAAATGGGGTGGGGGGTGTGGAGGGGGGGCGGGCGCGGTGGGTCTATTCACTTCTCTGGAACACACACGGGGAGTGATTGGTACAGAAGCCATTACAACATGTCACAACAATGCAGCCTTAGCTAGTTCGTTCATCCATCGACGCCGCTGGCAGATTTACCAGGAGCAACTTGGAACAGAGAGGAAGGAATCAACTAAACACCGCCTCGGCATTTCTGGGTTTTTGCCCCATTTGCGAGCCCACTGGCGAGAATTTTTGTGAGAATTTTTCCCCACTGCAGCCTGGACCACACGCAGTCAGAGTAAACAGTGGCGAGGTGGGATGGGTTGGGAGGCGAACAGTTGGGGGCCAAACACTTAGATACTCGTGTGCTTTCGTGACTGATAGTTTCTGTGGGGGAATTTATTGCCACAACATCAGGCGCCATTTTTTCTTTCTTTCCCACCCTCGCTCTCTCGTATGTAGATATGAGTAAGAGTATATGTATGCATGTGCATGTCTGAGTGGATATGCGTGTATGTGTACGTAGAAGTGTTTTTGCATGAATTCGTTTGTATGTACAAGACTGGCAGTAAGAGCGTGCGTGTGTATGTATGCGTGTATGTATGTATGTATGTATGTATGTATGTATGTATGTATGTATGTATGTATGTATGTATGTATGTATGTATGTATGTATGTATGTATGTATGTATGTATGTATGTATGTATGTATGTATGTATGTATGTATGTATGTATGTATGTATGTATGTATGTATGTACGTACGTACGTACGTACGTACGTACATACATACATATATACATACATACATACACACATACATACATACATACATGCCTTGAAGTACGTCTGTCCTTCAGACGGGAGCTGGCATCGTGTATGTACGTACGTATGTATGTATGTATGTATGTATGTATGTATGTATGTATGTATGTATGTATGTATGTATGTATGTATGTATGTATGTATGTATGTATGTATGTGTCCGTGTATGTATATTTGAATCTATACATGTCTCACCCATGCCTTTGTGTTAAAATAAATCTCAATCTAGATAAAAGAATAATGGGGCAGATACAAATTACCCGTTCGACGTTCAAAGAAGTTTTAATTAAGGCACCTGAACCTACTACGCCGGCCCAGTAGGAACCTGCAGCTGTGTGCAGGTAAGCATGCTGGGAATGTACATAAATCGGGGCTTACATTCACAAGTGGACCCTCAGAGAATGGCAGCGTACAATCACTGCTGAGTCAATATCTATCACCCTTGTTTAAAACCTAGCGCCCGTCACATCTTTTTAGCAAACTGGTTATATCGAGCACCAGCAAGGAGGTAACAATTAGAATTTTGAGAGCATGCATCTTCCCTGTGGCTACATACGGATGTGAGTCGTGGACTATCTCTCAGTCCTTAAGAAAGAGAATAGGGGCTTTTGAGCTGAAATGCTATAGAAAGATTCTCAGAATATCTTGGACAAAGAAGATGAGAAATATTGACATCTTAAAAGATCTGAACATCAAGGAAGATTGTCTAATAAACAGCATACTTTCTCGAAAGCTAAAAAATTTTGGTCTTTTCAAGCGTCACGATAGATTGGAAAAAATTATAGCAGAAGGCATGGTACCAGGGAGGAGGGGCAGGGGCCGACCGACACGAAGATGGGCACAGGATATAGGTGACTTCTTGAATGTGAAAGTTCATGAGGCGGTAGAACTGGCAAAGAGA